AAGATAGACGAAATTATCTACGACTTCAAAGTTAAGACTGTCAACAGTGACGTGAAAGCCTAGTTTCGGGTGCGCTGACTGTTTGTTTGATGACAGGAGATATTTCGTCTTGCCCTCGTTCACTGCCAGACCCATCTGCTTTTCTTCCTTGTCCAGTCTGGAGAAAGTAGAACTAACAGCGCGGGTGTTGAGGCCGATGATATGATGTCAATATCATCGGCATACGCCAGTAGCTGTACACTCTTATAAAAGATTGTACCTGCTCGATTAAGTTCTGCAGCTCGAATTATTTTCTCCAGCAGCAGGTTGAAGAAGTCGCACGATAAGGAGTCGCCTTGCCTGAAACCTCGTTTGGTATCTAACAGCTCGGAGAACTGACAGAGCTTTAAGTGTTGCTCAACGTCAATTTACACAGCCGTATAAGTTTTGCGGGGAAATCAAATTCAGACATCGCGGCATAAAGGAAGCTCCYTTTCGTCGAGGAGGTGGTGTGTATCGATTCTCCTTTCACAGGTCTTGTCCATGATTTGGAGCATGGTGAATATCTGGTCGGTTGCTGATTTGCCAGGTCTAAAGCCACACTGATAAGGTTCAATCAGTTTGTTGAGGGTGGGTTTTAATCTTTCACACAATACGCTCGATAGAACCTTATATGCGATGTGTAGAAGGCTAATCCTACGGTAGTTGGCGCAGATTGTAGGTTCTCCTTTTTTAAAGATTGGGCATAGSACACTTAAATTCCAATCGTTCATTCCCGCACGTGTTGCGGTMGATCGTAACGTTGCGTGGTAGGCAGCCTATTTTCTCTCCGCTACGACACGGCACTGCTCGTCGTACCAGCTGTTTGTTTATTTCACTTTCCGAAAACCAATGGTTTCGGTTACAGCTGAATGTAGGTAGTTTGAAATGCCGTCCCACAGTTCTCTTATACCGAGTTGTTGACGAGTGCTCTCAGAGAGCAGGTGTGCAAGCCGAGTAGAAAATCGTTCGGTTGTCTGTTGTGATTGCAGCTTCTCGACGTCGAACCTTCCTTGTATTTGCACAAAGGCGGATGCGAATCTTGGCTTCAACAGATAGTGGTCCGAGTCGATGTTAGGACCTCGGAGCGCACGCACATATAAAACACTGGAAACATGTATTCCGTTTATCATAAAATGATCGATCTGGTTGGTGGTTTTTTGATCCATTTGGTTTGTAGTGCCAAATTACCTTCTTTGCCCATCCTGGCATTCAAGTCGCCAAGCATCATTTTGACATCGTTGCGGGGGCAGCTCTCATAAATGCGCTCCAAGCACTCATAAAAGACATCATTGGTCACATCGTCCTTCTCATCCGTCGGGGMGYGGACGCAAATCAGCGATATGTTGAAGAACCTCGCTTTAATGMTAATTGTGGCTAGACGCTCATTCATCGGAGACGTTCATAGTACTCGGCGACGGAGTCTCACGGCGATGATGMYAGCCTTTATTTTCACAACCCCACCCAACTGGGCAGCGGCACCTTCCCAATTAAGGGACCGGACTTTCCAGGTGCATGCCCTCAATTCGTAGTCCTTATTTCGTTCGCCATGGTCATCATAAAAAYGGGGGTCTCTCATCCSAGGCTGGTTGTTCCTTTTCATTGGGGATGTTTTTTTTACGTGGCGGGTCCCAAACCCTGCGCACAACCCTATGTAGAGGATATTTCGCCTTCTCACTTTAGCTCGCCTTCAAACGGRTGTTCTTAGGCTACCCAGAGGATACTTAGTCAAAGACCGGAAGTCGTGAGCTGCTTGAGTCACATGTTAAAGAATCGTTTGTGGCCACTCCCA